AAGAATGGCGAAAAGTCAAGCTGGTGGCATGTCGGTCCTGGCGATACTAGGGATCGAGGTGGCATCCGGCCAGATCCTACGGCTCCTGGTCTACCAGTCCCTTCGGAATTGCCCGAAGGCGAAGAGCTCGTTGATGACGATGATAAACACTGGCGATCAGAGCTGCGTTATGCTCGACGCAGCTTCACTGGCAGGAAAGTCGTCGGCGGTCGAAGTGATGCGCCCGTGCCGTTGGTTGTTGTGGACAAGGGCGATGGTGTGGTGGACGCTTTCTGGTTTTTCTTCTACAGCTACAATCTTGGTAACGCTGTCTTCAACATTCGTTTCGGCAACCACGTTGGCGACTGGGAACATACCGTGGTCAGGTTCCAGCATGGCGAGCCCAAAGCGGTGTTCTTTAGTGAACATAGCTTTGGAGAAGCGTATACATGGGACGCTGTAGAGAAGAGTGGACAGAGGGTGAGTTCGACTTCTGAGCATTATGAGCGACACTAACATGTCTAGCCCATTGGTTTCTCTGCAACCGGTACCCACGCCATGTACGCTACGGAAGGTGTGCATCCGTACGTCTTGCCTGGTGGCATCCTCCACGACGTCACAGATCGGGGCCCTCTCTGGGACCCTGTCATGAACATGTATTCATACAAGTACGACTACCGATCCGACCGTCTTGTTGCATCGAACCTCAACCCGCGCGCGCCTACCTCATGGTTCTACTTTGGCGGCCACTGGGGCGATAAGTTCTACCCACTCAGCGACCCCCGACAATACCGCTTCTTGGGCCAGTACCATTACGTCAATGGACCACTTGGCCCCCGCTTCAAGAATCTAGGGCGGCAGGAAATTTGCCAAGGCAACGGCGAGTGTGTGCTTAAGGGACGTCCCGGAGAGAAATCTAGGATCACAAAGAGGTGGGTGAACATTGGCGAGGGCGAGGAGATGGATGAGGAAGACGCAAAACGCGTCTTCGGCACAGAGTATGATTCGGCATCTTGAAGATGCGATGACGAGGATATGACATTATTGATAGCGACCTTTTGTTGACACTCATTGTATAGCTGCACGGCGTTTGTGGCATCTGTACTATACCTGAATAGCGTCGTTCGATACCTACGTAACACATACGTGCTTGTTCATTTTACAGAATTTTTCTCTCGTGTTGGCGGTGGAACTGGGTGACTCAATAGGCAAGTCGTCTCGCGACAGAATCTGCAGAGACGTGTTCCTTGTCATGCTTGGAGTACATTCACTTGTACTGCTGCGTTGGGTAAGTCTAGCGGGCGAAAGCGGGCGACAATCGCCGAATCGGGGCGATGATCGGAGAGGACAACATTCGGGGCATGACTGACGTGACGCGAAATGTTCGCAGCATTTTCGGGCGATGGAATGTATGCGGTGCTTCATAATGGAGGAAGTCTGGCTCGGGCCTTGACGAAGGTTTTTCGGGATCATGTCATGTTCGTGATGAGAATAGCTTGCGACTGCACCTTGCCCGGTGCCGCACGCAGATCTGACAGTCTTCTAGCGTAAGGGGTGGAGGTTGCGAATCCATGAGCGAATATGGCATGCACGATTGCGTGACTGAGCGACGGCTAGAAAACGTCGCTGGCCCTTCCTCGGTTTCGCAGAGTCAGAGGGCAGGAAACATGGCGCGAATCAGTAATCGTTGGCTCATCACATCATCATCAGAGGGTGCGGCGTGTGTAGTTGGCATTTGTGGGACGCCGCGGGGGTGCTCTAGCTGCTAAAGCGGGCCTCGCTGGTTATCTCTTATCAGGGAAGTTCACCTCAGGTCACTGAGCGCGCATCTCTATTCTTGTAACCCTCGCCGCATGCTTGACGCAGGTCAGCCTCCCTTACACGTCTCTGTCGCCTTGCAAGGACGCTGCCTCTCCTATATCGCCTGTCTCCCGCGTGTTTCATTTATCTCTGGTAGACTCGTCACATCTTGTTTTACCGCACTTGCGCCTGATCACCCGCCGTCTGCAGTAGTAGCGTGTCCCTAGCGCACGACATACTGGGCATCATACACTCGTCCCCTCCCACCGCTAGAAGTAGTGGTTAACGTCGCAACGAGGCATGAGGCCAACACGACGATAAGGAACACACCGCCCCCAACGCGACGCGTTGATACTATTCCATAACCTCACAATTTATCCTATCTGCCCGACGTCCACGTGCCTTGCCCGAGCACTTGACTCCTCCATCGCCACTACCGTATACGTCGCGGCCCTCCTCAGATTACTACACCATGGCTTTCATACAGCAGCACAGACCGCAGCCCGGAAGGCAGCTATCCTACCAAGCACCAGAACCCGCGACCGAACCCGCAACGACCTCATTACAAGTCAACAGACCTCTTGATCAATCGGAGGAATGGGTCCTCTTCTCGCCGACCGCGCCTTCTGCTACCACCCGCACACACACCACCTCGACCGACCGAACCCCACGGACAGCTGGTCTGTCACGCTTCAGCGAGTTTGGCTCGCTCGAGACTGCTGCGCGGTCCGAACAAGACGATGGAGTTGGCTCATTTCTTGGGACGGAAGAGGAGCTGGATAGCCTAGATGATGGCCTACACGCGTTCCATGAGCCATCGGAATATGGTGCGCCGGTAGGCAGGCTGCAAGAGAGCGGTGATACTGTGCTACCGACCCATGACGGATTGGGCGAATTCAAGCCGAATGCGACTATGCAGGAACACATGTGGCAATTCGAGCGACAAAAGCGACGGGCACCCAGGCGACGATCCAGTGTGCAGCGGCACCTTTCAGTCCTCGACGACCACGAGGATACGAATACGGAACAAGAGAAGCGGCAGCGCATTGAAAGGTGGAGGCTCGAACAAAGTAAAGCGTTACTGGAAGAGATTGAAAAAGAGACAAGACGGAGGCGGCGAATGAGCATGGTCAGTACGGGAGCGAGTCGGGTTGATGCGCAAAAGGAAGTGGGCACAAAACCGCCTACTGCGCAGTCTGTATCGGACGTACAGAGCGAATCTTCTGAGGAAGGCACGGAGAATCTATCATTGTGGCAACGGATAACGCGACGGGTGATCAGGGATCTGATCGGCCTGGACGAAGACACACTCTCAGTCATTTTCGGAGAGTCTTTACCCGATGAGGCCGCCACGCCTACGCCTGGAACGCCTGCCGAGTTCTCAGCAGACAAAGCTCTGCAAGAAGCAGGTATCGACGCGTCCCGGTATTCAGATGATACCTGGCAGACGAAGCTGCTTGAGAGGGTAGCCCAGGAGTTGGGAACATTGGTCAACCAGCTTTCTGAGCACCCTGGAGCTTTCTCTACATACCAACGAACACAATCAGTGCCAGACTACGCAGGTCTTACACCCGTACTATCGAATACGACAGTCGCATCCGAACCCCTATCCTATAAAACCGCAAGTTCACAACCTACCACCACATCTCCCGCCTCGGCCCAGTTCGCACCCACCTTTCCCGCCCAAACTTCACACACCTGTAGCGAAGCATCATTATGGGGTATCGAAGAAGAACCTTCCGAGACCGAAGCCGCAACCTCATCCCACATCCCTCCTGCCCCCACCACGAACATCGCCGACGAGTTAGCGCGAGAGCGCGAGTACTGGGAACGCGATATTGACGTCAAAATGATCTTCAACTTTCTCATGAAACGCTTCTCCTCACGACGCCCCAGCATTCCCTCGTCTTCGCAGACCATCCCCCCACCACAACCGCTCCGCACCGCCAGCGCTCCTTCCACAACCACAAACGACAACCTCAGCTCCGCCCGCCGAGCAGCCATCATCCGCCAACACCACCCTTTGGTAAACCGGACGACGACCGATAGCAGACTCCCCACGTCGTCCGCGTCTCACTCGAGGGAGTCACGGCGCTTTGCTACATACTACGCGCCCCCGACCGGTGGCAGCAAGACTAAACTCAGGAGTAGCTCTAGTTGCGCCAGTCAGAGTACCAAGAAGAGCAAGAGAAGCGGTGGGTCATCGAGAAACTACTGGGATCTTGGTGGTAGTGTGGGTAGTGGGAGTGTCGTTGGTGGCTGAGGTCAGATGGAAGATGAGATGAGATGAGATGAAATGAGACGGGACATGGATGGATGATTACGATTATTACCCTTTTGGCATTAGAATACCTTTACGAGCATGGCAGTCGCAAGAGCATAGAATATTGGAGTCGGATTGGATAGCCCTTTTTTACATGGCTAGTGTCGCTGCTGGATAGAGCGGCGATGGAACGGTTTCCACACTCTCACCTTGGCTATAAATCAGAATACCACTACTTAGATATTTTTCAACTTATTTGTATAAATACATTCTTACTCATTGTCATTGTCCTTGGGAGTAGACTCAAACGAGTGGTCATCGAAGGCCTCATGTTGATGTAGGTTTCAAGGGCCTCTACCATCATAGACGATGTGGTTGCTGGAATCTATTGTAGCAAGCAACATGGTCAGACTTACTTCGAATGACGAGTGTCAACCACCATGTCGTACACAACTTCACCTCACGGCAACACAAAGACACGAGTTCGTCGGTATAGCACCATGCTACCCGCGCCGAAATCAAAGACTCCAGCGCGGACTCGCTGGCACTTGATTGATTCTCCCTACATCCCATCCTCCCCAACCACTACCAACTTCGCGAACTAGCGCGCGAAACGACCTCACGTACGTGTTGACAACGTACTGCGGTCCAACAATTGTTGAAGCTCTGTATATCTACAGCCTGCCCTAGGCCGATCTAAATGAAAAGGAAATCCGCATAGGAAACTTTTGGAAAGTACAAACGGGCTGGTATCATGTGGGTATAGTTGTAATGCCCCGTGGACGCCGTTGAAACACTTGTTGAAAAGGCTCATTTACCCGCCTCCCAAAGATATGCAAATCTTTCTCACTCACTGACTGCGCGACGGACTCATTTGTCGTCGCGTTTATTAACTTTGAAAACGGTTGGGCTGAAGTTGATTCAAGCCCACCTTTATGTCTTAATCAAGGCGTTAGAATTAGAACTTGAGCTCCTTGGGCTTCTCCCATGTGAAGTCCTGGTTGGTGAAGTGACCGTTCTTGGCGGTCTGGAAGTAGATGGGGTTGATGAGGTTGAGCTCCTTGACGATGACACCGGGGCGGAGGTCGAAGTTGTTCTTGACAATCTCGACGAGCTCGTCAGAGGAGCGCTCCGAGGTACCGTAGGTCTCGACGAAGAGAGAGAGGGGCTCGGCGACACCGATGGCGTAGGACAGCTGCACGAGTGCGCGGCGAGCGAGCTTAGCCTGGACGAGGGACTTGGCGATCCAGCGCGCAAGGTAGGCGGCGGAACGGTCGACCTTGGAGTAGTCCTTTCCGGAGAAAGCACCACCTCCGTGGGCACCCCAGCCACCGTAGGTGTCGACGATGATCTTACGTCCGGTAAGACCGGCGTCACCCTGGGGACCGCCGATGATGAAGAGACCGGATGGTTGGATCTGGGTATGTTAGTATGCTGGACGGACGTATGGAGGTTTGTGGACATACGTGGTAGACGGTCTTGTCATCGAGCATCTTCTCGGGGATGACCTTCTTGATGATCTTCTCCTTGATCTCCTCACGGAGCTTCTCAGTGGTAATGTCCTCGCTGTGCTGGGCAGACACGACGACGGTGTCAACGCGGAGAGGAACGACGGCACCGCCATCGTGGGCGTACTCAACGGTGACCTGAGTCTTGGTGTCGGGTCGGAGCCATGGCAGAGAGCCGTCCTTGCGGGCAGCGGTCATAGCCGAGTTCAGCTTGTGGGAGAGGAGGACGGTAAGAGGAAGGAGCTCGGGGGTCTCGTCGGTGGCATATCCGAACATGATACCCTGGTCTCCAGCACCGAGCTTCTCGAGAGCCTCCTCGTAGTGGAGACCTTGAGCAATGTCGGGCGACTGCTGCTCGATAGCAACGAGGACGTTGCATGTCTTGTAGTCGAAGCCCTTGTCGGAGCTGTCGTAGCCAATGTCCTTGATGGCACCGCGGATGATCTTCTGGTAGTCGAGGTGGGCCTTGGTGGTGATTTCACCGAAGACCATGATCATACCGGTCTTAGCGGCGGTCTCGCAAGCGACCTTGGAGAGGGGGTCCTCCTTGAGGCAGGCATCGAGGATGGCATCGGAGACTTGGTCGCTAGCATACAGTCAGATATGTCCCGAAGAAGCTGTAGAAACTCCCGGTTTCAGCGGGTGGGGTATGCCGTCTATCGCGCCGAGCGTTACGTGTCTTGTCGCGCACCGAACAACGGCGCTGAGAGCAATTGAAGCACTGGAAGGAGCGTACGTACCAGATCTTGTCAGGATGGCCCTCACCGACTACAAAATTGAAGATACGAAGTCAGTAAACGTCGCATATGCATTTCCTGCAACCGTAACGTACCAGATTCCTACACGGCATTAGCATACTATTGCACAATAAGGATATGGAGACTCGCAGATGTAAATAGGAATGTGGAGTTTCCCTTGCCGTTGGTGACAGTCATTTTGGCGGTTGAGAGCGACAGGAATCGTGGGATGATAGTTTGAAGACTTTCGACTTATGTATGGGAGGATGAGATAGTGAGGAGCAGTGGAGCGAAGGTGAGGGGTGATTTATCTGCAGCAGAGAAGTACCGAACAACGCGGGCGCAGAAAAAACGGACACCTACGGCCCTAGCTTTCGCGTCGTTAGCACGCCATGCGCTCTATCTGTCAAGGGTCAATGGCCCGTTGTCTGTCCAATGAGACGCGCTCCCCACATCTCCCTCACCGCGTCTATGACGCTAGGGTCCATGGCAGAAAAGGTTCCCGCCCGCAAGCACCGACGCTGTTTGTGTTAAGCCGAAGTGACGCGCCAGATCAACTGAGAGCTCAACTGCGACGATGAGTAAATACGGCACCCTGGTTATGGTATGCAGATTGCTCTTTGTGGAATAATCTTATACTAACGAGAAAAGGGCCCCGCGGGTGAGATATATCTTGTGTACAGACTGTGTATGAGACATCACTAACTTCGTTCACCCATATCTTAAGGCGCGGGAAAGTCAACCTTCTGCACAGTAAGAGATATCCATGTACGAACTGACTTGAGACGTCACTGACCTGGTATTCCAATCTTTAGGCACTCATCCAACACCTCCAGAACAGCAAGCGCCCTTGCTTCTACGTAAACCTCGACCCCGCCGCCGAAGAATTCGCCTTCGAGCCCGACCTCGACATCAAAGACCTCATCAGCCTCGAAGATGTAATGGAAGAAATGAGCCTCGGTCCCAACGGCGGGCTCATATACTGCTTCGAGTTCCTCATGGAGAACCTCGACTGGCTGACGGACCCCCTCGAAGAAGTCACCGAAGACTACCTCATCGTCTTCGACATGCCTGGCCAAATCGAACTCTACACACATGTACCCATACTACCGGGCTTGGTCAAGCACCTCATGACGGGCTCCCTCAACATCCGCATGTGCGCCGCATACCTCCTCGAAGCGACGTTTATTATCGATCGGCCGAAATTCTTCTCTGGCACGCTGTCTGCGATGAGCGCGATGATGATGCTGGAGATGCCGCATATCAATATACTGAGCAAGATGGATTTGGTCAAAGGGCAGATAGCGAAGCGCGATCTTAAGCGCTTTGTCGATGTCGATGCGGATCTCATTGAGGACGATCCTGCGCGCAAGAAGCACACGCCAGAGGAGGAGAGGAAATACAAAGACCCGGCGTCAACTGAGAGTCTTATGAGCGGGTCATCGTTTCATAAGCTCAACAAGGCTGTCGCGGAGCTTATCGATGGCTTCAGCATGGTTTCGTTCCTCAAGCTGGATGTGCAGGACGAGGATAGTCTGGGTGCAGTGCTGAGTTACATTGACGACGCCATTCAGTTCCACGAGTCGCAAGAGCCCAAGGAACCGAAGGATATGGAAGTCGAGTGATTTTCACATCCGAAAGTGTTTGCATTCAAGGTGTTTTGGCTACGGTAGGCATGTCTGGCATTTGCGGGCGTTTACGAATTACGATGGTTGGAGCATACATGGGCGGTGGGGATGACGGACAACACGAGCAGAGATACGATACCCAATACAAAGAACAATCATGAGTATTCACCTAGTGCAGTATGCTGATCAGAATGATAAGAGGCATACCAATCCATGTGCAGAAGTACGTGTGTTCGGGGGAAACGGCTTATTTGTATAGTATTACCCGAAACACGGCGTATTATGCACCCCTCGCATCAACGTACAGTACGGTGCAGGTGGTAAGCCAGCACAAGGCCTCGGAATCTGCCTCCTGTATACGTGTATGTCCGGATCATAACCTGGCGCAATCTAACGAACGACTCCCAATAGATTCTTGTCGTCGTCCGGCGGCTCGGGATACGTTCGGAGCCGCGCGGTGCTCGACTGAAGCGACGAGAAGACGGTACCCGTTTTCCCTACTCTACGCTTCGCGAAGATATATCGTTGTGCATTAGCGCCGCCGTTTCCGATCCCTTCTTGCATGCTGTCAGCCTTCTTTGTGCCAACTCATGTGCAGGATCCGTGACATCCGCGGCTCAAGGCCTCAACGCAGTGAGACTATGTCACGCATCCTCACCTGCGCCGACTCCTATCACCACTAGCCTGCTGCGCAGCCTGCTGAGCGGCCTCGTGCCCCAGCTCACCACGCAATGCCTTGAGCTTGGCCTCTACCTCTTCCTTCTTCTTAGCCTCCTTATCCAACTGCCTTTCCACATCCTCCATCTTCTGCTTGAAGAAGTCCTGCAGCGCCTGCTCTTGTTCCTGGCTGAAAGGAACCTCGTCGGCTCCCTTCTCCGGCAGTTGGGCGCTGCGCTCGCCGTTCGGCAGACCGCGCCTGAGCCTGCCGTTTGCACCGAGCGAGGCTTTCTTAGAGCCGCCCTTGCCGGCGGGTATGAGGTAGTTCCACTGGTCTTCCGATGTGAGGGCGTCGAAGAGGGCTTCGGTGGGTTCGTTAAACTGCACCACCTCGAGGAACTCGGAGCGCACGCAGCCTGTTCGTTCTTGCTCTGCTTGCATCTTCTCGTCGCCGTATTTCTCTAGTTGTAGGAAGTGTTGCCGATATTGCGCCTTCTCGCCGGAGATGGGCTGGAAGTGCAGTCTTATGTCGATGTTGAAACCTCCCCATCCTGTCTCGGTCACCTCGAAGGGTGGCTTTTCTACCATGCGCAGCGGGTTCTCATATGTGTTAAATATTTTGAACGATACTTTGTTCAGCCAGGCTCGGATGTCAGGGTCGCCGTCGGGTACGCGCACGTATACGGTCCAGCGCTTCGTGTGGTCATCGGGTACGCCCTTGGGACGGTCGGGGTGGCCTACTGGGGGCAGTTGCCAGGCTTCGGAGCCGATTACTACGCAGAATGAGTGAATGATCCGGCGCATAGGTTTTGCTGCGTCTTACTGAGGTTGCGACTGATGCGCTTGTTCTGCCCATCATCAGTATGCGCCTACAGCTGTATCGAAGCGGCCGACTTGCCTTGACGCGCTTATTTGAGGCGGGCGCAGGCATCTTGTCAGTCGCACGGGGTGAGATCAACAGGCGCGGTCTTGTATGCTGTGTGAAGTGGTTTGCGCAAATGATAAAGTCGTGTATTCGGTCAAAGGTCAAGCTACCACTGGCACCGACATGCAGGCACGCAGGCTAACAGCTAATCCTTGTCAGCCCGCCCCGCCTACTTGTCCTGTCCCTTCCCACCTCCCTTCTCATCTCTCGTCCTCTGGTTATACAATTTATCTTGCTTTCCAGCATTCGGCTTTCCCTCGATCCTGTCCAGCGAGTCCTCAATCAGCCCAATGTGGCCGCGTAGCGTTCCTTCAATTTCATCCAGACGCGCCTCCTGCTCCTCCTCCATGTGATCCAGCTTCTTCGTCACCCGGGAGCCTGTAGAATACAGCTGTTAGAACCAGAACATTACGCGCTTCGCAATAAAAGTGTGTTTGGGGAGAAGGCGCAATACCTAAATATGTCGCGAAGCCGGCTACAACGGTGAGGTTCGTGCCTACTAGGACGAGATCGTTCTTGAAGAGGTTTCTGAAGGCCTGCATGATAGCTTGTTGTATGGATGTTGATTTTATCTGGATAGATGCGAGAAACAGTACAGCAGATACAATACCATATTGCATTTGGCTCTGAATGAGAGCTCCCGTACGCTAATATGAAGCGTCATGACGACATGGACTTTCTTTCTACTGGTCAGAACCGCGAGTGCGACGTGCCTTACAACGCCATAGTTCTATTAACACGTTCATACTTTCTGGTTCAATTGCATGTCTTGTTAAAATACGTCTTGACATGGAGCAACGACGCGACCTACATGCAAGACGCGGAGGTGAACGGCATCTCCGCATATCCCTGTTCGATCTTACGCGACAGACGCGAAGTGGAGTGACATCAGCACTCGTCCCTTTCCATCAGCCGTTGCTCTAGCAGACAACATTTTGACCATTTGTCTGATCAACCACCACACAACACAACAATGGCTTCAACAACAGCACAAGCTGCAAAGAAGAAACTCGTGGTATGCGGCGGCAATGGCTTCTTGGGTATGCAATTGAGGAATTCCCCCGAGCTAGCTCGAGCAATAGCTCTACACCAGCACAACAGCTAGCTAATATAGCAAACAGGTAGCCGGATATGTAGAGCAGCAGCACACAGAGGCTGGAGCGTAACCTCGATCTCGTACGCCCACATCGCCCTCCCAGCTCCATCCCAATCCTCTATTAACACCCTCCCAGACGCTCCGGCACACCGCACTGGTCCTCGGTCTCCTCCTCGCAAACACCACCCGACTGGTCCGAAAAGGTCTCATGGCAAAAAGGCGACATACTCGACCCCGAGTCCTACACAAAGCATCTCGAAGGCGCAGATGCCGTGATACACAGCATGGGCATACTGCTAGAAGCAGACTACAAAGGCGTAATTAGCGGACGGGAGAGCCCAATCAAAGGACTACAACGCGCCTTCAGCAGCACCAAGGCCGGAACACAGAATCCGCTCACACGGAAGGAGGGGGAGAAGTTGAGGCCGCAGGAGAGCGATGGGCAGCTTACGTATGAGATTATGAATCGGGATACTGGTATGTTGGCAAAGGCATTGCCGTTGGTGTCCTAGTTGAACATACAACTGACTATCTTGTGTGAACAGCCGTTTCCCTAGCCCAAGAAGCTTCAACCCGCAAAGTCCCAACCTACCTCTACATCTCCGCCGCAGCAGGCACACCCATCCTTCCCGCCCGCTACATCACAACGAAACGAGAAGCCGAGTCCCTCATCGCATCTACCTTCCCTACCATGCGATCGATCTTCATTCGCGCGCCCTTCATGTACGACAGCAGCCGTACATTCACACTCCCCATTGCGGTAGCGGGCGGTGTGGCTGCCATGATAAACAGTGCTGTTGGAGGAAGGCTGACATGGCTCATGGGTGCAGGTGGAATTAAGCCGCTGAAAGCGGATCTGGTGGGTGAGGCGGTTGTAGAAGCACTGGAAGATGAGGATGTTAGGGGCCCAGTCGAAGTACCGGAGATTGAGAAGCTGGGTACGAGAGCTTGGAGGAAGAACATGCTATAAGGGAGACGAAAGATGTGAATAATTCATGGAATGATACTCGATTCATAATACCTCAACAACTTCGATCGCATCTATCTAGCGCACTGGGGTAGACTCCGAACATTTGTGCTCGACAAGGTCTGCTACAAAGCAGCTTTCCTTTCTCGAGCCGTACCCAGGACCCTGGCCTACACATGGTAGCATGTATCCTAAGGTGGCTGTGAATCAGGTACGACTCAGGAGAGCCGAACTTCTGCGTAGTGGAGTCTGAAGCAGCGCTATAAAGTGGCTGTTCAGGCCCTAGAATGACCCTGCTGCGATGGCTTTCTGAGTTTCTTCTCTTCATGCTCCTTCTTTATGCCGCATGCAAACTAGGACGTGCACCTGAATACGGTGCTCCTATCCATATGCTCTTAGCAATACCACGCGATCGCGAAAAGACTGCAATACCAGATGATATCTACGTTCACTTCTTCTTGTGCCCACCTCCATTCACCAACTTCTTCTTCATATGCTTCGGCATCTTCTCCTTCCTCTTCTCACGCTTCTCCTCCTTAATAGCCTTCTTATGCGCCACCTTCTCGTCATGATCGACATGTTTCTTTCCACGGCTAGGTCCCTTGTCGAAGATACTCTGATCAACCTCAGATCCTGAGCTACCATCGTCAGACTCAGCATCGGATGCATCTGAGCCGTTGTTGACGACGTTGTCGGCAAGGAGGGCTTGGTAGGGAAGGTCGGAGGCACCACCGGCGTTGACGAGCTCGGCGTCGCGTTCGATGTCGTAGACTTGCTCGAGGGTTTGGGGGATGTATTGGTTACGGAAGACGTCATCGTCTTCTTCCTCTTTCTTCCTTTCCTCCTCGGTCAAGGGTTCTTTGCTTAGGAGGCTGCGGATGCTCTCTTCCATCTGCGTCTGCTCCTTGACAGTCTTCGCTCCTGCGGCACTTGTAATGTAGGCGTAGGCCTTGCGCTCACTAAGCGTCTCGACGTTGCGGGAGCGGAAGAAGTCAGATACGTTCTTGACATCCATGCGCAGGAACTCGAGAGAGCGAGGATGGTCGTGCTCGACGGCTTGCGAGACGTCGATGATCCACTGCTTGCCCTCGTGGTACAGGACGTTGTACTCGCTCAAATCTGCGTGGACAAGACGACATGTCTGGTACATTATGCGCATGTATGCCAGCATCTCGAGATATAGACTTGTCCACTTCGCGTCCTCTTCCTCTGCTGTGAGACCCTCGAAGCGCACATCCTTCAGACGGGGCGCTGCCTTGCCTTTGCGGTCGCCCACGAAGCCCATGACAAGAACATGGTTCCGCAGCGCATGAGCCATTGGTGATGGAATGCCTGCATCGTGTATTCTGGCCAGATTCCTGCGTTCCTTGTCTGCCCACATCCGTACCATGGCGCGGTTATTGCTCTTGTTGTATCCTTGTCTGAAGCGGAACTCGCCCTCGACGTACTTTGCGCGATCCTTGAAGACGAGAATGGACGTCTTGTACACCTTGACGGCGCGGTGGATGGGGTCGGCGTCCTCTTCTGCGGCTTCGGTCATCGCATGGTATACATTGGCTTCTTTGCCCGTGGAGATGACACCGTGAATCTCTGAGATTACGCCGCGGTTTATGAGTTGCAGCAGGATCATCTGCGTCCTCCGATCCAAAACTTGTTCGGTTGTCGCGCGGTCTGCCTTGTCCTTGTCCCTTGCGTTACCCCCGGACGCACCCGTCATGCGCCCGGTGAGGCGAATCTTGCCCGCATGCTTCGCGAGTGAGGCGACTTGGTCGTCGATGGAGGCGTTTGTGTTGGCGGACGGCTTCTGTGGATTCGACTTGGGCTTGTGATCGTCTGGGATGTTCGTGTCGTTTAGCTTTCGCTGGCGGTTGTAGGCTTTGGTGAAGTCGTGGTGGTCGCCTGATATTAGTTCTGGCACGATCTCATCGTCTTCCTCGAACAGGTCGTCAATTTCATTGTCATCGTCGTTGGTTGGCGTTTCGTTTGTGACAGGCTTTTCGACCTGGTCGACTTCTTCATGCTGTTGCTGTGGCAGCTCTACTCCTCCGTCGGTGGTGGCCATGGTTGGTTGTGTGTGGAATGTTTACAGGATCTGAAGGATCGGCATGGGCATGTATATTTCGTCACACGTGAAATTCGAATAATTCTGCCACCGAGGGGCAACGGCGGGGCGAGCCCTGAAGGCGGTGTAGCGACGAGTCACGTGCCGATAGTGAGCCCTGCCCACGGGCGCGAGTGAGCTTCGGCTTCAGTTGTGAATCTTGGTAGCCAGAAAAAAATCAAGTGAAAAGCTTACTAGCTATTTCTGGGTAGCGCCCCGTGTACACCTGCATCTCACATGGCTGGCACCGGGCGTCGGAGCGACTGCGCCGCCTACCAAACTGCACCTGTCAGACATGCCCCTTTGCAACCTCTCCGCGCGTCCGATGCGCCGACATGTTTGCAACCGGCCGTTGAAGAGACGTCATTGATAGACGGATGATCGCCAAGATTAGATAGGAGAGCGCGCATCGCTCCAGCTGTCAGGGCTGCCCAGGTGCGCATCGCAATGACGGGAAACGTCAATCCCTCCCACTTGCTGGGCGCAGCGGCACAGCCACATCCACGCAGCCGGCCAACTCCCAAAGCATAAGAATTAGTGGCTGGGAAGAAGAAACATGAGCCAGATGATGCCAGGCACTTCTCCATTCTGATAGGCGCCTGCGGCGTCGCCGCCAGAACGGGCTCCGCGGCTCGACTATCCTGACACGCCCTAGTCTCCACAGACGGCTGGTGAAACACTTCAGGAGAGCCATCACGACCATTCAGGTCTACGCAGCGCTTGAACTGGAGACATGTTGCATGGGCTTGAGAAGCCGCATGGACTTCGGCCGCTGGCCGCTGATGCGCGTCCTGGCGCGCAGGGGAGATTGCTTCGTATAGCATTTCGTGACTTTTAATAGTCGGTGCTCCTCTGACACGCAGCACTGGCCTGCACTCTTTGTCTAACCTTTCATACTTCACACTCTCTCAGTCGATTCTCTGGACGCAGGTCGACCTCAGTCACTACATTCTTTTCAACGCTCGCTTGCGAAGCACTACATTCCTTAACACCACTCTACGCATTGTTGACATTGTGTCTTGCGTGTGAAACGACGCCGTACAGCACATCTCGGACGACTACTTCTTTTTGTCTTATCAACTTATCTCGAACCACTAGACTTTACCGAGATACCCACCATGCGTTTCTCCACATACTCTACCGCGAGCGTGCTGGCTGCTCTGGCCACCGCTCAGACCTTCACTGATTGCAACCCCATGGAGAAGAAATGCCCTAACAACCCTGCCATGCCCCAGAACTGGGAGACCGACTTCACTGCCGGAAAGGACGCTATCAAGGGATGGAAGCAGACTGCCGGTTCCCTGAAGTATGGACCCGAGGGCGCTGAATTTACCGTTGCCAAGAAGGGTGATGCTCCCACTATTGGATCCGAGGCCATGCTTCACTTTGGATACGTTGAGGTCGTCATGAAGGCAGCTCCTGGCGTCGGCATTATCTCTTCAATTGTCCTTCAGTCTGACAACTTGGATGAAGTCGACTGGGAATGGATTGGTGGCGTAGACAGCCGTGTTCAGCAGAACTACTTCGGCAAGGTACGCGACCAACAATTTGCAAAGTCTTTTCCCGAAAACTAATACCAGCCAGGGCAACACTACCACCTACGATCGTATGATCGAGGCCGATGCACTCAACAACCAGAACGAGTTCCACAAGTACGCTCTCAACTGGACTTCTGAATCGCTCACCTGGATTGTTGACGACAAGCCTACCCGCACATTGAACTTCGCCGATGCCAATGGCGGCAAGAACTACCCCCAAACGCCCTGCAATGTTCGTCTTGGAAACTGGCCAGGTGGTGACTCCAAGGACGAGGGCACTCGTCAATGGGCGGGAGGTAACGTCACCTACGACGATGCGCCCTTCACCATGACTGTCAAGAGCATCAAGGTCATCAACTACTCGCCCGGCAAGGAGTATGAGTGGACCGACAAGACTGGCGACTTCAAGTCCATCAAGGTCATCGATGCCGGTAACACAGAGGGTGCTCCTGTCAACAGCGTAGCCATCGAGGACTCCGCTGCCGCCACCGGAGCTCCCATCGAGTCTGGAATCGACGCCCCTGCCGCCACTGGTGGTTCTGACAGTGGTTCCAACTCGAAGCCCTCTGGTGCATCCACTACCTGCACGGAGAGCGACGCAGCGAAGCCCACACCTCCCGCTGTCCCAGCGGGCGGCAACGGCGGATCTGGCTTCAACTACCCCACCGGCGGCGCTGCTGTCCCCCAAGAGTCAGGCAGCCCTGATTCTCCTACCGGCAGCGACAGCGAAGATGAGCCTTGCGAGTGCGGTACTGCTACCGTCACCGTCACCGGCGCTCCCCCGGCAATCACCAACGCACCACCCGCCACCTTCACGACTGAGTACCCTGCCGTGCCCATCTCCAGTCTGATCACTTCCGCGGTAACTTCATCTCCTCCCTACCCCACCGAGTCTGGTCTGGAGATCGACACGAGGTCCGCACCTGGTGTTGTTGTGCCATCAATTGCGCCTACTGGTGCGCTGCCTCAGCCCTCTGGCAATGCTACCTTCTCTGCCCCACCATCGCAGTTCACTGGTGCGGCGAGCCATGTCAAGGCTGGTGGTCTTGTCGGTGCTATGATGGGTGCCGTCTTGCTTGCTTTCTAGATCGCTTGACGGAAGTTCTGATGATATAGGAAAATGTACGCAAGGGGACATTACGTTGATTGTAAATATTATTTCAGTTGTAGAGCGTTCGATACGCATACTAGATTTTTTGACGAAAAAGACACGTTTTGATCAAATTTCTCTTTTTTCATAAGTGCTTCCTTATGGGTAATTGCTATTGCACAGTACTTTATATGCAACATTGACTACACCATTCACTACCGATAAAACTTGTCCTTCCTAGCCGGCTTCCCGTCCATAAGCCCAATCCTACCCACATTGTCATCAGCATCCATGTCAGCAACGAACCCCGGAATCTCATGCAAAGCCTCACACTCCTCGATATCAGCGATCGTAGAATACCGCTGAAGCTTCGCCCGGTAGGTCTGCTGCAACTCGGCCCCAAGCCTGAAGACTGTATGCCCATCCAGAATCGCGCTCCATCGTCGCCGGAAGCCATAGACAAGGCAAAGACCTGAGCTGATCAACGCCCACAATCCAAATAAAGCAACAGGAACAGCGGCTGGCATAACGCCCGGTTCAATTACGGTGCCAGCGACAAAAGCGGTGAGGTCAGGGACGCGTGATTTGAGGCGTGTCATGTTGGCGCCTATGAACTCTCGACCTTCGTTGTACATGAGCTTGATGGCATAGGTGGAGTATGCTTGTAGAAGTACCTGTCGAAGTTGGTCGGCTTGTAGGTATTCGAGCTGAGTGTTAAATCGCAAATTGCCATAGATATGGCTTTCATCGCCTTCGGCAGATGTGTCGAGTGGTACAGGCAGGCCAATCGAATCAAAAAGCCACTTCAACCAACCGTCTCTGTTAATGGCGAGTGTACACGCAAGTGTCTCTGCTCCAAAACGTTTCGCGCAGTCATCTTTCCGAACAGGTATCGGGGTATCGGTCCGCTGGAAGTTGGAGTAGGTAGAACGCACACCATCGATGTTTGCTGAGCCTACACTGCTGCTTGATGTACAGGATGCACCGATGGCTGTGAGGTTTCGGTTGCCAGTGTCAACATACTCGCCATACAGTGACTCGATACTACGAATGATGGGATTGTTCAAGATTGTTTGGGCCAACGGAGCACCTGGAAGAAACTCAAGTCTCTGCCATAGTAGAACTTCAAAAACCCTCTTTTTGTCGATGCCCGGGTACGGTTCCGACGCGTTCTCTTGTAGATCGTGGTAACAGTAGGACGTTGACGGGTTCTTTGCTTCATTGAGCCAGCCGCAAGGCGGCTCGTTTTCCGACGCTGTTTGTGGTTGCCAGGATTGATATGCAGTCTCTATGACTGCATCCATGTTTAATGACCACTTGAGGTTGTCTCCAATAGCCCCATCTGCTCGGCCGCTCCGTGGCTCTTTGGCGACCTCAACAATTGTAGTATTGTCTTGAAGACGGTACGTGGCATATTTGACTTGTTTAGTGTAATCAAATGCAACACATTCTTGGTAGGTTGAGTTTAGATCAGTGCTCGGTACTAGAGACGGAGTGGGAGTTGACTCTGAAGTGAGGCCGTCGGCGGGAAAGTCATCGTCCACAGTTCGGGAAGATTCCACGGGTGCGAAACCAAACATGATGCGTTTCGACCCAAAGACATTTGTTGAGGACCGGCGATCTTTCAAAAGATAGAAATCGGATAATTTGTCTACGACTCTGCAGTCGTAATGCAACAGCAAACCCCAGGCGTTACCCTCAATGGGAGTTTCACCCTGGGCGGCCAGAAACATTTCTTGGACACCCTCAGTACTTGGGAGTACCACCGGGAACTTCTGTAGGAACTCGCTTTGCGATCGATCGAAGCCTTCAGACGTGTATACAGCGCCGTGCTCTAGGACACGGGCGCCGATATAGGATCCTCTAGACGGCCTGCGACCCCCAGGATTAGCATTAAAGTTCGAACGTATGAATCCAGTAACATTGGCTCCTTGCCCTGGCTTGCCGTGAAGAAACCCACTAGTCATCTCAAGACAGAGGCCTGACAAAGGCCATGCCACGAATACAACCAAGCTGGGAAGTGCGAGAACAAACCACAACCGAGAAGGGAGCTTGGTCTGCTGGCTGCGTACTCTGCGTGTTTGCACAACCCATTTTAGGGCTTTCATCCAGCCACCGGGACCAGACCAGGTGTTATCGGCATGCAACATAAGACGCATGGCATCTTCAACCTTCCATGTCCGTTCCATGAGCATGCCAGCCTCCGCACCAGCCAGCCCGTAAAGACTCAAGCTTAGGCCAATGACCCCGGCAACGAACCAACTGTAGAACACCCACTTGGCACCCGGTGGTCCAAAGGCTACCGTCGAGTCTGGTTGGAGTGGGGCAAGGTATACTCGCCAGACGATGATGACATAAGATAATATGATTATCGGACCAAGGACACCGACTATCGTGCGGAAGTAGAAGCGCCGAAGAGGTCGACCGAATGAACTGGAGTCTATATCCTGCGCGTTACTGAACTCGGCATCATCGCTATGCCCTGATGTGAGACCAGATGCAAGATTCTCTGAGAGACCTTCGGACAGGCGATCAAGCGCAGTTGCATAGTATACCTGCTGGTACGGACCGATACTCGCATGCTGCCGGTACGGAACGGCATTAGCATGCTCTTGGTATTGAACAGTGTCTCCGTTGTTCTGGTGCGCGTATTCGGAGCCGGAATTTTGCTCGGGAAGAAGGTTGATGGAGGAGACTTGCGCAGTGATTTCATACGAACTGCGAATGTCAGTTGCGAAGCCAGGTTTTGTCACAGAACGTGGCTTACCGGTACTCAGACCCATCCCTTTCCAACTCCCAAGAAAAGCTGCCGGGCACGCCGATTGAGTTATATCGTTGAGAGCTCATGCCAGTCAGATGGCGAACATGAGGCACGTCCAGTGGTGCGAAGACAAGACCGCAATGGTCCGTGGTACGTTGGAAGGTGGCAGAAGCCTGGCAAGTCCAGAAAGCAAAACATTGTGAGTAAAGAGTACATTGCCATTTGTTCTAGCAGTATCGCAGTTTCAGCCTCGCGCGGTTTGGAGGGGCTGTGTAATAAAGGTGTGGGGGCCAGAAATCGAGAATCAAGTTCAGCCTTGCACCTTCTGCATTGGCTGCCACAATATCGATTGCTTACTATTGGCAGTCACTGTTGATTTGATCCCGCTATTGCGCCTGTGACCTCATGAAGATGGCTTGGTGCAACATCTGAGCCAATCATGTACAGAGTTAACAAGACATGTCTGCGCGGCCCCGAGTGCGCCTTCCCAAGCCCCTCCACGGCAGCAAAGCTGACATTGTTCTGGCCCAATCCCATACGTCACCGCCGTTGACTCCTAGAAACAGCCGACCACCACTTACACGTAGCTCAGACATCTCGGACCGTAACCCTGAGATTAGGACCAATCTCCCGCCTCACAACATAAAACCCACTGTCTTCCCTCCTTTCCGTGGTGTACTGATGCTGCTTACTCCTCTGCCACCACTTCTTCTTAGCAGCTCGCTCGCACTTCGCCTTGATACAACTAATCCATTTGGAGCATTTGCAAAGCGAAAGTTTGTACCATGCACACTTTCCGCCACTTCCAATCCCGTCCCCTCCTACTTTTGTAGCATTATTTTTATCATTAGCAACACCCTCGGCTGCGGGCACACCTCGTGGGTGCAGAACTGGCGGTACCCGCTTCGTTCGTCTATCTCTCTGGCCCCATTTTGTCCGCCGTTGAACTCCTTCGATCAGGGACCCGGGGATGAGGTATGTTGATGGATCGGGAGGGTAGGGGTTGACGAGACCGTAGGGTGTGCTGAAGGGTGTGGGTGTGATGGGTTGAAGGTAAGAAAATTTGGTCTCGGAGCGTAATTCTGGCGTTGGCGCGACGGTGCAATGGCTTCGTGTACGCCTGAGGTCGGGTGAAGAATGTGATGCTGGGTCCTCTTTTACGGGCGCTTTATAGTATGAGCCGGCATAATTCGTTGGTGTATGACGGCGGTGGTGGACGTCCGAGGAGGAGGATGCTGCTTCATGTTTGACTTTGCTCGCTCCCGTCGGGACATAGTATCCCCTTTCTGGTTCCTCTTCTATCTTGACTTTGGAGGCTGGGTGTGACGCATCGAAGTCACGGAAAGTCTCGACAGCGAACCTCTTGTAGCTCGAGCTAACCGACGGACCTGAAGTCTGGCTGCGAAGTGACAGTACATCCCTATGTACTAGAGAAACATCGCTCTCCTTCTTGACTACCGTAGATCGGTAGAACTGTTCAGCGAGGGGGGTTGGTACGCGGAGCGGAGATTTAGACCATGCTGTTGTGAAGGATGGGTAATGTGGTGGTGTTTCGAGATCGGCTTTATCTTCGACCTTGATGTGAACTGTGTGATGACGAGAGGAAGGCCCTCCGGGCTTGACTACTTTCGCTTCTTCCCTGTAGTCTCGACGTCGAGATGCTGGCGAGGATGGGTATGCCGTGTTATCGGGACTCTCGGGCTCAACCTTTACTCGTGCGCGAGTCTCCTGCTTCCTTCCCACTACTGCTATCGTGCTATCAGTTCCAAGCGCGCTGAACCGGCCAGGTATTTGTATGATTTCGGGAGTCCTTGGTGGCACAACATCTCTGCTTTGTGTACGAAGATCTCGTGCTGAGGAGTTTCGCCTGGATTCGGTGACCTTGGGAACCATTGTATGCTAAGGCTATCTTGCTTGATCTGGTTTCGATAGTATAGTAGATGATTGCGACGCAAAACTCGTTCCCTGTCCTCGCAATCTTCGACGATGTTGCTAAATGATTGAATGCAGGTGGGCGTGCAAGACAGTTTTCAGACAATCAAAATGCTTAGTGAGTGAGTAAAGATAGAGCCCAGTGATGTACCATCGGTTGCCGACGATGGAACAACGTAATCGGGGAGGAGCCTGGACGCGGTAGATGCTGTGAGGTCTGCAGGGCAATTACGAATTTCGCTGATCGTCTACTCAGTGTGGCATGTCATGTGCGGGTGTACCCAGGAAAAAGGGTCCTGGGTGGACCCATGGACCCAAGATTCAATCGACCACCTGTTCTTCGCGGAGAAAGACACGTAAGCTGTTTTGGTAATGTTTTGATGTAAGCATGCCCAAATGGAGATGTAATGAAGACGTCGGACCAGCGCAAAGAAGACGATTTTGACGGAGTCATGGCATTGTCTGTCGAATGTAAGATCGAAAAACCCTGCGTCAGCTGACCACCCATTGACACTGACACTGGCTCAAATGCGCCTCTTCCCGTTGCTCTCGATGCCTAATACGTCCCATAGGTTGCGATGTGGAGACTGGAACATTACCCTTAGAATTGTCCAAACGCAACATCACCTCCTCCGAAAGTGGAGCAAGGGTACCGTCCGATTTCATAGTCATTTTCGAACAAAAAGGGGTCTTTCCATTTGGCGTCCACTCCTCGACCAACTCAACGGCGTAGGGGAAATCCGGCAGCGTAGTGGAATTATCCACATCGACCGTGCCTGGTGCAGTATTGGTAGCGCTAGCAGTCGTAACTCTGGTAGGGTAGATGTAACCCTCAACAGTCGTCTCATTGAAGATGCATTGCCACAAACTATTCCCAGGTTGAAATGGAGTATTTGACGTCGAAGCATGCACATGTGGCTCTCCAGCCAGAGGTAACTCATCCTGGCTGAGCAATACAATCTTGTCGTAGGTGGTGCGGAAGTGATAGGCGAAATCGTCTTCGCGCTCAGTACCGTTAATCGCTAGTAGCTCCATAGGTGGAATGACCGGTATGCGTTCGCCATGGCGGACGATGTCGTTGCTTCCCGATGGCCCCACCGCTATCATGATCGTGCTGTCGTTGCCCGCCAAAGCTGGAAGTATGCTTAGTTGAAAGGTTGTTTCAGACGCGCATTGCCACGCATTTTGATCCTCGCTTGTCAGACATGCCATACTCTGCTGCTGCGGAAGTTCAACAGGTAACGCAAAGATTCCACGTCGGAGGTTGTTGGTAATGTTGGTACTTGAAGGGCCATTGCTAGTAACGTGTGCGATCGCATCCTCATCGCTGTAGACTCCATGTTAACGGCGTCCTTATGGTTTGACTTCGTACAGCTTACCTGGTTGAAGATCGATCTTTGACGGCCAGAAGACTCAGCCCGATCGTAAGGAGCATCAGAAATTGTAAAATCAGCAGAGTGAAGATACGTTGCCGCTGAGACATTCGCTGCCATATACATCCTGGAAGTTTAGGCAGAGGCTTGTTGAAATTATCGGCTTCGTCCCATGATGGCACGAAGACTTCTTTCTCTTCTTGATCTGGACTGAGTATAGGAGCCGAGAGAATGTTACTCCTTTCGAGAGGGACCGCCTCGATCCCATCCTCGATCTTTCTGATTAGGCATGTTCCCGAATGAATTCCAGATGTGTTTGTTGAGTCAGAGCCCCCGTAGTTGGCTGGGAAGGTGGTATAAATGCTGGGGAGTGGCTGGATGCTGCTGATGGACCGGTAAGGCAGCCGCATAAGTGCAATCCAAAGTTATTTACGAATAGATATTAATAAAGAATGTATTCCTGGTGTTGTCTCTGGACCGGCCAGGCACGCAGGGCTGCAGGAAGCGAATGAGAGAATAGAGAGTGAGTAAAAATAATGAGTGCCGCATACTAGAAATAGTTCCACATGAAGGGATATAAACAATTGATCATGACCTGTTGAGTTCATGAGAAGTATGTGCCGTGCTTGCATATCGCTTTAGCTACACCGTGCTCATACCACAGCTCGATATCCAATCGAACACCCACCACGGCCAGGGGCTGGCTGGATTACGGCTCGTGTTTGCTATCAGATCAAGGACGGATTGAGTAAGAGGCTGGAATTGTAATCGTTAGCAGCCTAGAGTATTGGCTCTGCGCTCCCCGTATGCGATGGATTGTAGGTAGACTGTGCGATAGCCGCCCATCCTCATGCCGGTCCTTGGGACGGCCGTGATGCCTGGGAAGCCAAAGCGCGGACCGGACCGAATGCGAACAGCTATCGCGAAGGATGGGATTAGGAACAGCTGAATGACTTGTGCGCTATGCGCGGGCCTTGGGCACGCATATACTTCCCGGCGTAGAGTATTGTTGGCAAGCTGTGTTCGATACCGAGAGGTTCAACTGCAAAAGTCGCGAGTAGAGACCTCCGTATTGAGTCGAACAGGGTTGTTCAAGCAAGCAGCGGGAAAGGTTGTACCGTGTGTCAACGCGCGTGTTTGGTGTGTGACGACTAGCCGCCGCCCAGACGTGCCGCAGGTCGCATCACGGGTCAAAGACAGAGCGATCGAGCAGAGCTGTCGTCCTGTATCTGTACCGTCTCGTTCTTTTACCGCCGAGTGTAGAATTGCAGCACGTGTGAAGGCTCATGCTTTGTCGACGGCCTAAGTGATGGGTCCAGGGTATGGAGACGCGTCGTGGAAATGTGGGTGGTTGGTTGGGCTAGCTCCACCAGCTCTTCCGAGGCGGGCAGGATCGACCCGAAGCGCGTCAGGAACCCGACCAATACGTTCACGACCCTCCAAAGACACCCCATCAACTCCCCGCCTCCTCTTGGTGAGGAACAAGACGCGCTTCGAATTGTGCAGTTGCGTTCCCGTTCCAAGAGTGTACTAATATCTACCCCGTTCTACTGTCTGTTCCCCGGTGAACGCAGAGGCCACCAAGTTTCGCAAATATTGACATGTTTCGAAACAAGAAACAGTGCACCAGCGTCATCTCACCATTGTTTCGAAGACAGGCAATCTTCAGGATTTTATACTGAATTGTGCATATTTCCTACTTCGATAGAGCTGACCAACATGGCTCCCCTGGCGTCATCCGCTTCGTTTCCAAACATGCCAAGCTGAACGAGTAGGAGACTGAGCACCAAGACGCCGACATGCTTGCTGATGATCCCATGTTGTCTGCTAATATTAGACGTCTGAGAGAGGTAGCGTGCCTGAAGTGGTTCAAGGCTGCGACAACTAAGCTGCAAAGGTGCTGAGCTCATCCACCCAGCCCGAATGTGTGCCACGATGACGGGAGGAAAAACTCAGCCCCAGATCTGAAGCGTATAATACTTGAGCATGAACCGTTGAGAAGTGCTTTTTCGTCCCTCTCCTCGTATTATACCCACTCCTACGCTCGGTCAATATGGAATTATTACAACCTTCTCCCCGCACAGCGCCCGCCTCTATGACATTGATGGCAAGACGACAAAAGATAAATTGGCTGCTGTTTGCATCGAGCGCTTTACTTTGTGCTCTATCCATCACCGTATTCGGATTGATTAGCTCTGTGGTGGCTTGGATACATGACCAGAAGCATCAGGTGCATGTTTATCATGTGAACTGGCCTGGAAATCCGACCCAAATTAATGTCGAACCCAAGAATGTGTGGACGGACCAAGGGCACGAGAGCAACGGCGCAGCAGTATATGGATTCTTCTTGGACATTCTTGGCATGTGGACAGCATGGAGGATGAGGAAGACTGGACAGGTACGGTAACAATCTTTACGATGTCTTGAACAGGGTACTAAAAGTGTGAATAGGGTCGAAAAAGTCTTAGCGCCCTTGCTATCCTGACGTTGCTCGGAAGTGTATTCTGTTTGTCGGCTTTCATCTTCGTCTTCGTAGTGACGTACCAGACGACAGGCCAGCACATCAAGGAACCTATCGCCTCCAACACAGTCGGAATCAACTACCCGTACCTGAGATGGACGCCCGAGACGTGGTTCAAGGCCGTGCTAGATCTTCCTCTGGCTGACGGAGCGCAAGCCGCCGAGATCAAACTAAGGGTCGGATGCATGGTAGCCTGGCGGTGGATATTGCTTCCTCTCTTACTTGTATTTGGCACGACCTTTTGCGTCGCAGCGATAACTTGGTCAAGGCGACGGAGAGACGACGTGCTGGTGCGGACCAGTTCAGGGCATTCTGTGGAGGAGAAGGGGTCACGATGATTGGCATGGCGGTACACATGACATTTAGCGAGTTGGGTGCGAACCTCGGCGCGTGACAAAAAATGTCCCCACCAAGCTCCGACTCTCTTCAACCCGCAATACGAACACATACAAACACACGCACCTCTCTTCCCCCTCTCCCTCACCCTCCCCGACGAGAGCCTTCGCTATGGGCTGGCTCATCTACCTCGCCGCCATGCCGCCCGTGCTCATCATCGCCATGCGCCTGCTCTCGCTCGTGCTGCCCGCGAAGCCCGCCCAGCTGGTATCGTACTACGCCTTCGCAATAAGCTCCATGCTCCTCATGCTCTGCTGCGCGCTGTACGGCACCCTCGTGGCTATACCTCTGCGCCTCGTGGGCTATGGTGGACTGATCCAGTGGACCGTTGCGCGGGCGTTCAAATGGGTCATGTGGTTGTGCACCGGCGTAACATTCAGAGTGACGGGGAGCATGAAAAAAGAGGGCGGTCTCAGCGGAGAAGACGCCCTCAGAGACCGTCCCGCTATTTTTGTGGGCAACCACCAGACGTGGGTTCACCAGGTCCTTTGGCTAGGCCAACTGTCGACAGCAGCGCTGACATTCCTCGCAGCGAACTCGACGTCCTCATGCTCGGCTGCATGTTCCCCAAATACACGTCTGTCACGGCCAAGAAGTCGCTGAAATACGTCCCCCTACTCGGCTGGTTCATGGCCCTCTCCAAGACCGTCTTCATAGACCGCGCAAACCGTACCTCCTCCCGCGCCGCATTCGATACTGCCGCACACACCATGAAGACAACACGCCAGAACGTTTTTATCTTCCCCGAAGGCACGCGCTCCTACGCCTCGAAGCCTGAACTCCTACCCTTCAAGAAAGGCGCCTTCCATCTCGCCGTACAAGCACAAGTTCCAATCGTGCCCGTCGTCGTTGGCAACTACTACCACGTTCTAGACGTAAAGGGCAAGAGGTTTACGCCAGGCGTGGTGGATGTAACAGTCCTGCCGCCAATACAAACAAAAGGAAAGGGGCCAGAGCACGTCGATGAGCTGCTCAAGAAGACAAGAGATGCTATGATGGATGAGCTGATTCGGCTGAGCCACGTCTCAGGCACGGGCAATGGCGAGCCTCTTCCGCGTACTAGTGGGGCCGACGGACAGGAGCGCAGTGAGCTGAGGAAACGGAATTAGGACTTCTGGCACATACGGCGTTAGGTGGCGCTTGGTATACATTGATATCCCAAATATGGCAGGTTCGATACTGTCTGGCTGGTTGGCATGTACATAATCGTAGTTCTAGTACAAAGATCATTTACTCAAGATCCGCTCAACCCACTGCAGCACTGACGTCAATATTTCATGGCTTTTCGAGATTAGCATGTGGGCTTGGAGTATGGTGAGTTGTAGAACGAATACGAGCTTCCGCGTAGTGTAAGAGGATTGAAGCTCGGCAAACCTTCCCCGACTACGATAGTGCTCGGTGCTCGTTACCCCACAACTACCCCTCTCGTTACCCAATGAGGCAATCCCGTGCTGGTTAGACGCGTGAATGCTGGACAGCGTGTACCTAGGTCGCATATATAGCCATGTTGACGACCATGAGAGAGATGTTTTCTCATTATTGACCATTCGAACGATTTCAAGAGCGTGCTTGAAGCAAGATGGCAGCAAGACAACCAGGTTTAGTCAACGAGACGAAATCTGCAAATGCATTCAGTGTCAAAGGGAAAAGTGCCATAGTCACTGGTGCTGGGTCAGGTATAAACTTCTCTTTTGCAGCCTTACTTCTCAGCCATGGCTGCTCCGTCCTTATAGCCGATCTTTCGCTTCGCCCGGAAGCAGAGCAACTGGTTAAAGAATACAGTACAAAAGAGCAAGGGAGACCACGAGCCGTCTTTCTCAAGACCGATGTCACGGATTGGCCGCAGCTGGAGCGCATGTTCGAAGTAGGAATACAGGAATTCGGAAAAGTCGACGTTGTATGTCCAGGAGCAGGCGTCTACGATCCCCACTGGAGTAACTTCTGGCATCCTCCAGGCGTCGATGGCGGCGCGAGCAGAGACAAGGCGGACGGGGGACGATACGCAACTCTCGATATCAACGTAACACATCCCATTCGCACGACCCAGCTTGCTATATCGCATTTCCTCAACCCACCTCCCGGTGTAGATAGAGTGAGTGCGCAAAATCCTAAGAGAGTCGTCATCATCTCTAGTATTGCAGGCCAAAACCCCAACCTCCACGCGCCGATATATACGGCGGCCAAACATGGGATGAACGGTTTTGTCCGGTCTCTGGGTACGCTCGAAGCGGAGATGAACATTCGCGTCAATGCCGTCGCTCCGGGCGTCATCAAGACACCACTGTGGACCGAGCATCCGGAGAAAATGACCTTCATCGACGAGACCAAGGATGCGTGGGCGACACCCGAAGAAGTGGCGGTCGCCATGTTGAGATGCTTGGAAGAAACCGATCTGGGTGGAGGCACGATCCTTGAGGTGGGCGCGAAACAGACCAGGCTAGTTGAGGCATACGTAAGTATTGATGGAAAACATCCACCCGGGTGTGTGACTGTGTGCTGATGATTGATGATGCAGAACGATCCGGGCCCGAGTGGAGCGGGCCATACTGTTAGCAATCTTGAAGAACAATACAAGGAGGTGTACGGGTGGCTGAACCAAGACGGATGGGGCCAGACGACTGGCAAAGCAAAGTTGTGATATCCAGCTATCAACATGGAGAAGCCTGAAGTCGGCCTTTTGGCCGAAGCTGCCCTGGATATGTCCGCGGGAATTCACGACGATAAGCTAAGAATAACATCGCGATAGTGTATAGCCGTGGGTTGTTGGTAGGACAAGCTTCCTCAATCGTATGACAGTGCATTACTCTGCTCCGAGTACCGCCACGTGGGATCTGCTCAGGCATCGCGTCCAGCCACGTCCATGCCGAAGCGCGTCTTGATGGATGGGCCGGACGACAGTGCTCCGAGAGCGGCAAAATTTCTGATCGCTAGCGGTTACTCGAAAGGACCCTCACCGCTGACTGAGCTTGACTTCTGCCGCCATTGCCACCGGTGACGCTATTTTTCCATGGAGGGGCCGGAAGGTGAGGGGCGCTACGTATGAAAGGCCCCACCCATGCAGCTGGCCCAACAACACTTTTACATCACATCAGTCGACAACTTTCCTCACCCCTACTACATATCAAGTGCTCTCACAAACACTTGCTACAAACCTTCAATCCCAATTCCATACACACACACCCCTCACAATGCCTAGCTCCCTCGAACAGCTCAAGGCCTCCGGCACCGTGAGTATTCACATGCGCAACATCAAGCCTGCGGAAGAATTATAGCTGACCGACTGTCCCTACAGACCGTTGTCGCCGACTCCGGTGACTTCGCTACCATCAAGAAGTACCAGCCCCAGGATGCGACCACCAACCCCTCGCTCATCCTCGCCGCGTCTAAGAAGCCCGAGTACGAGAAGCTGATCGACGCGGCCGTCGCATACGGCAAGAAGAACGGCACCGACCTCGAGAACCAGGTCGACACCACCCTTGACAACCTGCTGGTACAGTTTGGCAAGGAAATCCTCCAGATTGTCCCCGGCAAGGTCTCGACAGAAGTCGATGCGCGCTTCTCCTTCTCCACCGAGGAGTCAGTAGCCAAGGCCCTGCACATCATCGACCTCTACAAGGAGATCGGTATCGACAAGGAGCGCGTTCTCATCAAGCTCGCGTCCACATGGGAGGGAATCAAGGCCGCTGAGATCCTGCAATCCAAGCACGGAATCAACTGCAACTTGACCCTCATGTTCTCCCAGGTCCAGGCCATCGCAGCTGCTGAGGCCGGTGCTTTCCTCATCTCTCCCTTCGTCGGCCGTATTCTTGACTGGTACAAGGCCTCAACCAAGAAGGAGTACTCCAAGGAGGAGGACCCCGGTGTCAAGAGCGTCCAGCAAATCTTCAACTACTACAAGAAGCACGGCTACAAGACCATCGTCATGGGCGCATCTTTCCGCAGCGTCGGTGAGGTCACCGAGCTCGCTGGTTGCGACTACCTGACCATTGCTGTAAGTACTGCCCGCAGGCTCTATCCCTGCACATTTGACTAACGAATACAGCCCAACCTGCTCGAGGAGCTGTACAACTCACAAGACGACGTCCCCAAGAAGCTCATCGCCGAGGATGCCAGCAAGCTCGACATCGAGAAGAAGACCTACATCAACAACGAGGCCGAGTTCCGCTTCTACTTCAACGAGGACCAGATGGCCGTCGAGAAGCTCCGCGAGGGTATCTCGAAATTCGCCGCTGACGCCGTTACCCTGAAGGACATCCTCCGCAAGAAGATCCAGGCGGCATAGAGTGTGTAATCCGACAACGGAGACACACCAAGCATCTGAACACTCTTACGGCTTTCTTCGGTTTTGATATGAGACATGATGGGCTGGCTTCCAATAAATAGATAGTAAAATTGACATCAGATGTAAAACACCAGCTTCCCGTCGTCTCTGTGATATGCTGAAACCTTGAATGTCATGAAAGTGTAAGAAAACGATAGAAACCATGTCAAGTGCTGGGCCCCCAGGGCTATTAATCATTCGTCGGATCTGGCCCGGCGTTAGAGACCGTTGCGTCACTACAGCCCCGCATTCGGCCGGTGGAGGCGGCTTCAAAGCTCACCTCTAGCCAGCTGTACATCTCCCTCCCATCTCTTCCCCAACAACGCCTCTTTCTGTCACAGATCCCAAAATACACAAGTAATACCATCAATACCCATCACATAACCGTCACAATGGTCAAAGCCGGTACGTATGTTTAGAGTAGCTTCACGAGCTTGCCCTCTTGCGGGAAGGTGGGGTCAGCTCCTTGCGTAAGATTGAGCAGATTATTTGCGACGACACGGTACTCAGGTGTATCGTAACGCTCGAAAAGGTCAATTGGACAGCTTTGGGACTCACAAGGAGTACCATGCTGTCAGTTGGTACCTGGGGCTTGTCGTTGGACTTCTCCAATCAGCTCGCCGGCTGCAAGACACCCTGATGGCCTTCCGCTACATCGCACGCGCATCAACGCGCTACAGAAGCTTGGTGGAGCTTGAGGCTCAGAGAGAACGGATATGCTAACGCAAACGCTATAGTCGCCGTCCTCCGTGGAGACTCGAACGTCAAGGGAACCGTCACCTTTGAGCAGGCCGACGAGTCCGCCCCTACTACCATCTCATGGAACATCACTGGCCACGACGCCAACGCTGAGCGTGGCATGCACGTTCACGCTTTCGGCGATAACACAAACGGTTGCACGTCTGCTGGTCCTCACTGTGAGTACAGACCCACACTACACCTACAACGATTTGCATCGGATACGCAGGAACACCCACCCTGCAGATCTAGCTGCCGAGATGTATACCCATACTAATACGCCCATCCAGTCAACCCCCACAACAAGACGCACGGCGCGCCCGAAGACGACGAGCGCCACGTCGGTGACTTGGGTAACTTCAAGACCGACGGCCAGGGCAATGCTCAGGGCAGCACCACGGACAAGCTGATCAAGTTGATTGGCGCCGAGAGCGTCGTTGGCCGCACCATTGTCGTTCACGCTGGAACTGACGACCTTGGCAAGGGCGGACACGAGGAATCCAAGAAGACTGGTAACGCTGGTCCTCGCCCTGCTTGCGGTGTCATTGGCATCTCCAACTAGGATGTTGTGTTTTAAGAACGTAAACGACAAGGAAGTCTTAGGGTAGCTTGACGAGAATCAATCACTGTATCCTGACCCTCTTACTTAAGTGCGATGCAAACATGTGATTATGAAGATCTGACAGAAGAAATATGCATTCGTGTTGCCTACGTAGACTAAGTCACTACCACGACCACCGCCCCAACCATATCCCCGCAGCTGCCACCCACCCGCTCTTCCGCCGAGATGACCGAATCTCAATTGTCCGAGCGTAGCAGCTGGCAGCAATACGTACCAGGTCAGGTTGCTAGTGGACGGGCTAGAGTGTGTCCTAGTCCCCCATGTTGCATCCAATAAAGATAGATGGTGGATCGAAGAAACGAAGACCCAAGCCGTGAACTCCACGCCAATGCAGAGAAAGGGTATCGATGCTTACAGTCGAGAGATAGAGAGTTGTTGATACGCCCCCAATGTCGCAACTTTTTACCGATGAAGGGTACGCAAGGAGAAGCGGACTGCTGAGTGGATGTAATCAAGGTCAGTAGCAATGGAGGGAATGATGAATGAGAAGCCATCCCCGCTCGCACTAGGTCCAGGCCTAGAACGGAGAGGGAAGCTAAAAAGGATTACAAGTTGACGACACGAGTATCGTCGTTGAGGAATTGACGGCGATATCTCGCTATCTCCACAGCGATGCCGTTGGGGTCTTTGATGTTCTTCTGACGAAGTTCTTTGAGCACGCCGCGGAGACCGTCATTCCAGCGCTGCTTTTCCTCGGAGGTCTTGCCTGGGTTCGCTGTGCCGAGCTGGACGAGCAGTTTGTCACCTGTATGATTACAAGTCAGTTTCCGCGCAGAGGTATAGCCGTCATGAGTGAGAACAAAACACAACGGAAATCAAGACAAAAACGCCTCTCCCAACGCACCAGTAATAGCAACTTCCCTAAAGTGCTGATCGGGACATTCAGGGTCGTTGCATGCGCCGCCAGCTAGTTCGTACTGGCACAGCGGCTTCTCTGGGTTGATCTGATGACTAAAAGTCAGGGACAGGAAGCCACCATTTATATCTTGAGCATAGTTGGGATGATAGCGATAGGACTTGAACATTCGCAGCGGGCTTTCGTACGGAGTAAACCTGGCTGGTTCGGGTTCTTCGTCCTGTTCGGACACCTCAGGCACCTGGTCTGCATTAGCTAGGCCTCCGGTATGGTGGTTGACGTACAGGTCCGCCAGTGGCCGCTGAAGACGTTACCTCTGGTTGTAGCTCGGGCGCTAGATCATCAGCTATTCCAGCGTCTTGATGTAACGGGTTGTACGCTGAGATGGACTTCCCCATTTCCGGCTCTGGGGTAGACTCGTCGTCGGATTCGCCATCGTCAGAGCTTTCATCAGATGATGTAGCAATGTCCATTGCGCCATCTCCCGCCTCAGCTTGAGCCGTGGGCTCATACTGATCTGCGGTGGATTCTTCGCCAACCTGGACATCCGGCATGTCTTCTTCGACGTCGGGTGGCTCGTAGGCTTCTTCTTCTTGTGGGGAGGCTTGCGAACTTTCGAGCGAATACTCGGGTTTGGTCTGCACCTCTACTTCGTCTTCCACAGGTACTTCGGGAATAACGACAGATTCTTCTGGCTCGTATTCCGGCTCGTACTCTTCCTCTTCTTCATCATCTTCGTCACCTTCGGATACAGACATGTCGACTTCTCCTTCTTCTGACGGCGAGGGGGCAGTGATAGGTTGCTGGATCTCTTGGTCCACAGCAGCACTGGCGTTGGTCTTAGCTACGTCGATCGCATTTTGTACACTGACATCAGCTCTCGATGAGACACTTTGTGTATCTTCAATTTCGTTTTGCTGAGCTGCTGAGACAAAGGCGGGTGCTGAAGGATTCAGGGTCCTGGTGCCATTGGCAGGCGAATCCTGTGGGCCAGAGTGTATCTGTGATGCTGCTGGGTTGACGGCACCTTCTACAGGCATGACCTGTTCTGGTGATTCCGGGGGTTCATAACTCTCCTGCTCGGACTGAATCGTATCCTGTCCAAGTCCAGGAAGTGCCATTGGTACTGAAATGTGTTGGTTTGAAGCTGAAAGTGAAACCGGAGAAGCATCCTTGAGTGCAGGCTGCGATACAGGTTGCGTTTGGTTAGATGGGGAGTTCGAATCCGAAGACTGCTCGCCTTCGATTTCATCCTTCTTGGCCCGTAATTGCGCATGAGACATGCCCTCCGTATCGACACCGAGATCTTCCAGCTCCTTGGTCAGCTGCTCCTTGTCCCTTGCAATCCTCTCATTCTGCGCCGTTAGCTGCTCCAATTCCTTGGTCAGCTGAGCCATCCTACTCGCGTTACTTGCAATCTCGGCATCCAGGGTAGGCAGCTTAGATTGGATCTCCGCCCGGCGAAGACGATTTGTGTCTTTTGAATGTGATGGGAATGATACAAACTGGGTCGTGGATGTGGGAAGCGAAGATGGAGTGGAGGCCTGGAGAGATGGCACTGGCGTCGAAGTCTTTTGGCTCGTGGACGGTGATGTCGCGGCGCTGGCAGCTGCTGCCAACCTATCCCGCTCCCGCTTTTCAGCGAGCTTCTTCTTGAGTGTCTCGCGCATAGCCACCAACTGCTTCTCTTTGTCCACTAGCTCCTTCTCGCGCGCGACTGTGTTGGGTGTTTCTGCGCCTGAGGTACCGACAGCAGCGGCTGATGGGGTTGCTGGCATCACGCCGGAGTGGAAGTTGGGAAGGGTGCCAGGAGCCTGACGCGAATTCTGGCCTGCCTGAGGAGCGGGCTGGTCGTCGTCAATATCCATATCGCTGCCGTTGGACTCGTCTTCGCTAACATCTATTATCATTGAATCATCTTCCTGGTCAGCATGCGGAGACTGGCCCAGCGGCCGTGTGTGAGAAGTAGAATTTGGTAGAGATGCTGGCTGAGGTGCAGCCGGAGCAGGTGTATTCGATGTTGAAGCCCCGCCCATGAAAAGACCTGGAATGGCTGAGAAAGATGGGGTATAGGCGGCGCTCGTGGGGGTATGCGAGCCAGGCGTGACTGGCGGCTTCTGCCTCGCCTTGATGGCTTCCAAGCGCTGCTTAATCAACTCGGTATTGCGCGCCCTCTGCTCGTCTGTCACAGGCGGCTTAGCAGCCGGCGGGGTCGCAGGCTGAGGCGTTTTGGTGACTGGCGCAGGAGTGGTGGGTTTGGGGGCGGCGGCCTGTTTCGCAGCCTTCGCGGCCTGAAGACGTGCTATGTAATCTTGACGATGGCCCGGGGTGCTTGGCGACGCGACAGACTTGGGCGCATCTTGCGCGACGGGAGTCACTGGCTGGACAGCGGGCGCCTTGGAGACGGCATCGTTGGCCTTGGGTGGCAGGATGGGCGCAGGCTCCGACGGCAGGTTTGCGCTCTGGTACAGGCCCCTCAGCAGCTCGGGGTCTAGCTGCTCATTGGCGAGGGCTTTGTACGAGACGTTGTTGCTGTGCAGAAGCTTGATGAACTGCTTGGCCGCGTCGCGATCCTGCTGTAGCTTGTCCATGAGCGACGGCGAACTGTCGCCTTCACTCAGCTCGCCGTCTTCGCGGTCGCTGTCCGTGACTTCCTGTACGCGCTCGGGCAGTGGAGGCTGGGGAGGCAGCGACGGTGGGGGAAAGGCCATGTTGGGAAAGGGCGGCGGCGGCGGGAGGTTTGGGGCACCTGGAGGGAAGGAGCCACTCTGGAAGAGCGCCCAAAGATTGGCATCGGGCGGAGGAAAGGCAGGAAACGGGGGCTGCTGGCCGTTCTGCGCATACGGGGCGAGGTTGATGCCCGGGATGCCCGGCAGCTGCTGCATGGGCGGGGGATGCGCGTAGTTGTTTGCCATGACGCGCGGTGATGGAGGAGCGTGGGCAGTTCGTGAGATATTAGCATCGCGACAGTATCGAGAAACGTCCGTGCACACTCCACCCAATCACGACCCCGGCTGTTGCTAGGGGCCCCAGCGGCTGTCATTGTTTACAACAACTTTACGTGCAGCGTCTGTACCAGCAAAGCCTCCCTAGGGTTCCTTTTGCATGTCTGCACCCGCGTCCCCGCATACTACTGTACATACTGGGGCAATGTCAATCAACTAAGCCCAAATGACCCCTTCGGCTACGACGACGACTGCACCACGACAACACCACCACCACTCACCACCATGAGCGCGAACGGGCCCGCGCCGAATGGCCGACCCTTCGCCCGCAACTCGCGCGGCACTCCCTTTGCCAGGAACTCGGTCTCCTCGCCGCTCCACGAGGCCGACGACTCCCCCATGGGCCACCTGCGCAACCGCTCCCTCACCAACCTCACCAGCCCGCCGCTGGGCCGCAGTGACTCGGCACGCCTGCGCTCCAACTCGAACCGCAACAGCACGCCCGTAGGCACCTTTGCCCCGCAGTTCATCTCCGAGGACGACGACGCTGCTCCGCGCCTGGGTGGCATCGTGGAAGGCGAGAACGACTTCTCCGGCAAGCGCTATGTCTGGCTTAGGGATCCCGTCACGGCCTTCGTCCGCGGATGGGTCGTCGAGGACCTGCCGGGCGGCCGCATCCTCGTCCAATGCGACAATGGCACACAGCAGGATGTCGACGCCGACGCCATCGACAAGGTCAATCCGGCCAAGTTCGACAAGGCCGACGACATGGCGGAACTCACCCATCTGAACGAGCCCTCGGTCATCCACAACCTCCACATGCGATACCAGGCCGACCTGATATACACCTACTCCGGACTGTTTCTCGTCACCGTGAACCCCTACTGCCCGCTGCCCATCTACTCGCGGGAGTACATCAACATGTACCGGGGGCGGAGCAGGGAGGAGACCAAGCCGCATATCTTCGCCATGGCTGATCATGCCTTCCGGAACCTCATAGAGGAAGGCACCAACCAGAGTATTCTCGTGACGTGAGTTAGTCCAACATCTAAACCAGCTGTAACTGACCCTCTATAGCGGAGAATCTGGTGCTGGTAAGACGGAGAACACCAAGAAGGTCATCCAGTATCTAGCCGCTG